CATACTCTGGATATGTTTTCTATCTCCCCTGCTACTGACCTTTATCCATCTGGCCCCTGCCAGGTAAACGTGTTTCTCCCAGCCTGCCTGTTGTGTGACTGCACGCTAACATACACATGTAGTGTGCACTTGAATATACACAATTTAAAAGGCCAGATGCCCTACAGCAATAGAAATGTTTGGAGGTAAATGTCAGCTGGCAGTGGGAAGCAAAAAGCTAAGAAATATATATATTCGCATTGCCTCCATAGAGCGCATTTGCTCACATTCCCCTCCTTCGCCTCTGCTGCAGGCCTCTCTACCCACAATATTTAGATTTTGAGCTCATTCACTGCAGAACAAAACAAGCAGGCAGACATGGACACACATCCCGGAGCTAAGTGCAGCTGCTCACCGTGCACCTTGGCAGCAGCAAGACAGTTTTATATCTTAGATCATTTGGAATCATAAGACAGTTTCTCTTGTTTCACTGTTGTGTCAAGTGAGATTAAAGGTTGCGAATAATAGATGCACCTTGAAATCCAGGATACCGTCATCTAATGCGTCATATTATGTAACGTGGCTGTGTGGTAACGTGTTTGTTATACATCTTTGTTAGAGCAGTGAATCTTAAAAAAATTATTTTAATAATCTGTCAGGTTTGTCATGGGAGGGATATTTGGTCAGATTACATTTTATCTAACTAAACTTGCTGTGGTAATTTAAAGGGACAGTTCACCCCAGAATCAAAAATACAGATTTTTCCTCTTAGCTGTAGTGTTGTTTAATAGTCTAGATTGTTTTGGAGTGAGTTGCCGAGTTTTGGAGATAACAGCCAAGAGATTTCTGCCTTTTCTAAAATATAATGGACCCAGATGGCACTCAGCTTGTGGTGCTCAAAGTGCCAAAAAGACATTTGAAAAACTCAACAGCAATGTCTCTTTCCAGAAATCATGACCTGGTTACTCAAGATAATCCACAGACCTTGATGTGAGCAGTTTTATGTAGGGACTATTTTCTCTCTAAGGAACTACACCCTCCAACTGTATCACTGAGCAGGAGGAAGGGCTCTAGTTTCACAGACCGGGCACGGCGGAGGCACAGTGCACCTGCGCTTCGCCAACTGGGTGTGGCCAGGCGGATTTTGTAAGTTTGGCACACCGTGCGCCCTGGCGCAACTACTCCTCTTTCCCACCTCCGTCCCTCCTACCGGCGCAAGTCGGAAAGAGGGAGGAGAGAAGGCGTGGAGTGGGTTTTACACAGCCCATTCACATCACACCAATCAAATGAGCCCCTCTCCTCGCCCTTAAATGTGCCATGCAAAGGCGTAATGAGAGTTTAGTCGTTTCGCCATGGCAGAAGAGAGCAGCAGAGTCAGATGGCCAAACTTCTCCCAGGAGGAAACTGATGTTTTGGTCCGGGAGGTCCAAGCTTACAGTGTCCGAATATACGGAACTGCGAGCAGACCTCTACAGGCTGATGATGAAAAGGCAGCCTGGGAGGAGGTCACCACAATTGTAAATCAATGTTGCGTTTCTCTCGTGCGCGCACGCTCTCTCTTTCTCTCTCGCAGTCTCACTCTGTTTCTTTTCTTTTGACTTTTCTAAGATGACAGATGCTGAATATATACTCCCTATCTGATGCTGTGGCTGTTTGTGGTTGGCTGAGAGGGATGTGAACTCATTAGTTTGCAGCTGTGTTAATCAAATCAGGTTGGGTTTCCATTACGCGTGCCAAACGGTGCCAATCCCCTTTGATCTGACATCAGATGTGACGGGACAGTCGATATAGAGATACATTTATGTGCTGATTGCAGATAGTTGCATTGATTAGTGGTTTTGTGGCTATTTATTGCATCGTTAATGTGCCTGATATTCTGGAAACCTGCCTGTGAGGTTTTGGTGATGTGTGTGCACTGTCCGCTGGTCAGCCAAACTTCGGCTTACACCGGCTGCGCTCCTCCTGTGCTGACAGTAGACGTGGTTTCAGTTGGCGAGCTTTTAGTGCACCTTTGGCGAAGCCTTTTGGCACAAAACTGTCACTGCGCCAAGCTGCATCTGTCGACACCTCCCCCTGCTGCGCCGCCACACCCATCTCAGCGCACCTTGGTCTGCCAAACTACCAAACTGAGCGCGCCTTGGGTTGTGCTGCTCGAAACTAGCTCTGCGCAGGGTTCGCCACCCTGCGCCACCCTGTGCTGCGCCGGGAAACTAGAGCCTGATGTGTGCATCTACTCATGGATGAGAGGCTCGTGCTCATGACAACACGAGATGTAAACATTAATGGCGCCCTCCTTGACTGAGCTGTAACACTACCTAGCTCAGTGGTGCTAGGTGAGCTAGCAGTAGACCGTTCATTCTGCACTGTGAAAAATTATGAATTGGTTTTGAGGTGAGCTGTCTCTTTAAGATTCAGGTCATGACTTTTCTTCATGATTTTATTCCCACCTACACGTTTTTTGTTTTTTTTTTGATACCCAATTATGCTCAAACTGTTGATATTGCTGGTGCTTTGATTACTTTAGAGCCAACATGCTCTGTTAGTTATCTAGGTTTCATCAAATCTGGCTTTAAGCTGTTTAGGTGATACAGACTGACTGACTCATTTAAATCCCTGCAGTGCATCCACTGTAAAATTGTTAGCATCTCCCCGGTGTTCAAGCATCAGCAACAGAAGAGCAGAGGAGAGGCCAGGGCAATATAGAGAACCACAAATGTTTTATCACTGGGCTAATGAACAAGGCTGTGATATAAGCAGCTTACATTTTGAGGAATTATTAAAGTTATTTACTGATTTGAAGTCGAAATACTCAATCAGAGATCACGCAAACACAAAGTTTTAAGTTGTATAATGACGAGTAAAGACATATCCGAAGATCATTTTTCTTCACCCCTCTCAGATTTAATTGGTACATTCCTAATCCCACCATACAGCGTTCTACTGTGGATGGTTGTGCTGCTAGCTGACACCTCCGATTTACTGCTAGGCCTTGTTGTGACCCATCCACTCTATCTATTAATGAGTGTGTGCTTCTCCACACATTTCAATCTGCCTAAGCAATTTATGTCTTTCCATCCCTTTGTTCATTTTGTGTGACTAATTGTCAGACAGCAGAGCAGGTAAATAACAGTGGCAGCTTGTTGTTTTGACACATTAGTTAAATGTGTTCATATGTGGAATCGGTCAAAAGGAATTAATCGGATCACTTGGTGCTGTGTAATGCACTATTACATCTTGTATGGGGTCTGTGAAGCTGTATGGTATCTTTGAGCATATAACAGTTTATAATTTGAAATGAAAAATATTATACCCGCCAGTGGTGTTCAAGCTGTCAATGACTTAGAAGGGAGGAATCCTCCCACTGAGCTTTGCTTCACATGTTGTTGTGTGTGCAGTTGCCTGGTTACATGTGAAGTTAGCAAAAGCTGTGTGTTTTCATCCCACTCATATGACATGATGGTCACTGACAGAGAAAGAGGGAGAAACCTTGGTGTGTGCAGTTGTGAGTCATGTGGACCAGGCAAATATTTAACAAGACTGTTGTCCACATCTTTATCTTCAAAATACAGCTTCAAGCACCAAGACCATGTGGTCTGGAGTGTAACCAGACATCACCACGCACTTTCTAACATAACTTATAATTTTAGACTGATAACTGACTCAACAATATATTAGAATCCGTCACAGTGAACGCCACATGTTACTGCAGCATTCTCAGTATTTCATTGTATTCATTTCCTCTCAACGAGGCCCCTCATTAGATACCCCTCATTGACTGCCGCATCACTGCAAACACTCATTTGATTACAAACCAGTGAAAACTAGTTTCTGCATGCTTGCCAGCTGTGAATGCTCGGCACATAACAATTTGAACACCGATACACAGCCACATTAGTAGGCATACTTTCACTGTTAATGCTTGAAATGCCTTTAATGGAGAATGTGTTTTAGTACAGGGACAGAGACAAGTGGAAATAAGACTCCTGCACTGACAAGATGTGCTGTAAATTGTAGTGAGCTATTCTAGAGATTTTATTTTGTGGTCATATATTTTTATTTCCCATAGCACTCACTCTTACACTGCATACAACGGCTCCAATAAAGAATTTATAAGTATACTGTAAGTAGCTGATCCTTATTATAAAAGCTGATGTCTCTTTGTGCAGCTGCATGGGGCAGCTTTTTTTTATAGTGTGCATATATGTATAAAGCCCACTAACATCTGGCTTTTGTATTTAATGGGAAAGGTTACAATCGGCATTCCCTTCCTGACTCTGCAGTAGTCATGGGTATCTATCGGCTCCAGCGCTGATTGACAGTGATGGAAATATGACACCTGGGTTGATGTGCTAATTTTAGCCCCTTTGTAGCGTGACGCAAACACAGGTCCCCACAAAATACCTTCCGTCTCCATCCAAGCAGCTCTGGAACATTGATCAAAATGTAGTTTGCATCCAGTTTGAAAGACAGACTGAATAAGTAAGACATATATGAAACAAAGAGGTAACTACCGTAACATTTTCACTGGCCTCCATGCTGTAAAAAACAGTGTACCTGTTTTCCGGCCCATCCCTGACGTTGAATGTGACACAGCAGAAAGAAAAATAAAACTGAAAGCCATACTCATCATCTACTGTCGAGCACTGTACATGGCTCTTGTCTACTGGCTATGGCTTTTTTTCCCCCCCCTTTTTCTTAATATTTGGAGCTTTTTTGCCTTTAAATGGACAGGACAGAGGGAAGAGTGTGAAGTGGGGAGAGAGAGAGAGAGAGAGAGTGGGGGGACGATATGCAGCAAAGGGTTGCAAGCCGGAGTCGAACTCGCGATCACTGCGAGGCATCACCTCTATATCACTTATTTTTACACTTTTTCCTGCATTTAAAAAAACCTGCATACATGTACTTATTTTGGTGGAAAGGAGGCATAACTTAAATCCATCCATCCATTTTCGTAACCACTTGTCCATTTGATGTTGAGTTAAAGAACGACAGGTGGACTCAATAATGCAGACAACCAGAGCTCAGTTCAATAAGGGTTTATTTGCTCCACCGAGAGAATTATACTAGTTGTCCAGAGAGGGTTTTGAACCTGGGTCTTTTGCATTCAAGGCAGCAACACTGCTGTTGGACCGCATGGACAGGTAGTACTCACTGGCGGATACCACAGATAACCAGGACAGGGGAGAGGACGGAGCTGGACTGAGGCAGGGTGGGGGGAGATCCAGGATTGGGTGTCAGAGGAGTGGGGCAGGCAGTGGAGCAGAGCAGGCTGAGGAGGATGCAGCTTGAGGATAGACTGCAGCAGGCACAGACAGCAGCAGGTGAGGCAGGTCAGCAGCTGAAGTTCCGGAGATGCAAACTGGAAACCGAGGAGATCAGAGTTAGGAGAGAGGTAAATGGCCAAAAAAACAAACATGCACAAAAGCTGGTGCAAGACAGGTGCCAAGAGCTTTACCATACGAAGGTTAACAACGAACTGGCGACGACTGCAGAGAAGAGCCGGTCTCAAATACTCCAGGTAGATTGCTGAATGATTGCAGGTGTGGAGATGATTGCTGCAGCCTGCCTCACCTGCTCACACTCACACAGAAAGGAGGGGGGAAGGGAAGAGGGAAAGGAAAAACCAGGTGCAATCCTAACACTTGAGGGTCGCGGGGGGGTTGGAACCTATCCCAGCTGACATTGGGCGAGAGGCAGGGTACACCCTGGACAGATCGGCAGACTATCACAGGGCTGACACATAGAGACAGACAACCATTCACACCAACATTCACACCTACGGACAATTTAGAGTCACCAATTAACCTGCATGTCTTTGGACTGTGGGAGGAAGCTGGAATACCTGGAGAAAACCCACACTGACACGGGGAGAACATGCAAACTCTGCACAGAAGGGTCATTTCTTGGTCTTTAGGCGCCCTCAGTTACCAGAAATGGCGTATTAAATTCACACATGGTTTCAGTCTGAATGTGAATTTTACGAGAAAGTTCACATAGGTTTGTTTCCATATAAATTAGAGCAAAGCAAAGCCTGCAGCCAGTGTGAACCATTATGAAAAACATTTTTTCTATCAATATTGCAGAAAGCCACTGTATAGGTTTTGCTCTTGAAAATGTCACTGCATCCAACAATGAAAGGAATTACTGTAGTTACAGCTTCAATCTTGGACCCCGAGGCAAAAGTTCTTTATAAAACCAACTTATGCTACAAAGTATAACAATAACTCTGAAATGCTGGAAGGCTGTCGGAGACTTGAAATTAGATTTTAAATGTGCTAGCGATGTGCAAGGCAGCTAATATAAACAGTAACTTAATGATTTTGTCTTACGTAGGCTAAATATTTATTCAGATGACTCAGTTTTTTAATAAACAAAAGGCCTAACACACTCTTTCAACGTCACAGGCGTCCGTGAGTGATTATGTGGGTCCATGAGCTCAGCAGCTGATGTTTTACAGCTTGCAAAGACTGGACAGAAACCGTATGATGGTGCCACTGCAGTTCAACAGCCGGAGTGACAACAGAGAGGTGTTATTGACAGGAAAGAAGAGACGTACCATGAAACAAGGGCGGCAGAAACTATCCGGTATATGGTAGGAGTTGAACTGTGAATGTGTGCCGTATGTGGTGTGTGTGCATGTAAACCACAGAGTGTGAGGATGATTGTTTGATGATGAGTGTGAAGGCACTGTAAGGCCAGCAGGGTGTGTGTGTGTGTGTGTGTGTGTGTGCGCGTGTGTTTGAGTAGCTTTAAGCACATTTAATTTAGACTATCTGCAGCCAATATAAGTAATTACTAGTCAGTGCTCATGTGTACATCGAAATGCCTGGAGGGTTCATTCTGGAGAATATACTGTTAAATCACACTTTACCAGAATAATGACTCACTCCCTCTCTGTTATTGTGTGTAATGTCCTTGTACCTGTGCATGCTGAAGGATGTTTCATTTGCACTCACAGAAAGTTAATCCAGTCCCTCTGGAAAACACAGCTTCTGTATCATGCACATTTTGTCGCCTAACATGCAAGTAATTCTGATGGGTGTGTGTGTGTGCGACAGAGAAAGAAGTCATTGTGTGTGTGTTATTTACAACATGGGGGCTGCCTTTGGCGGAAACCTGAGCACTTGGGAGATATAGCGAGGCGGACAGAATCTAAAAATACCACGGCTGAGTGAGCAGGGCTTAAGAAGAAGAAGAAGCAGTGGCTGTCTCCACTGTCAGGCCTGCTTCTTGGTCTTCAGACTGCACGCTGCTGTCTGGGAATGAAATATTAGGCCTTTTATAAGCAAACGGAAACAAATCCATCTGAGAGCAGACAGCTAATTTAAAGTGACGGGTAGAACAAGGGGGGTTTTATATCAGATATTGAACGTTTGATCTGTTTGGTAAGTCAGTGTGATGTAAAGTGTATGAAACAGCTATAATGAGATCGCGGATGGATTGTTTGAGTGTTAATCAAAATAGGGGGAGAAAAAAAAAAGATAATTGGAGTTCATGAGGAATATGAGAGTTTCATCGAAGCTTGAAAAATGCCACAGTTTTTAAACTAAATGTGGCGAGAGGATTAAAGGCGACACAGTCCTTGACACCACGTAAAAGTGTTAAAAAATTTTGTGACCTCTTCAGCTTTGACTTCAAGGTCACGCCCTGTGGCCACGACCCCTTTCCTCTTGTCATCTCTTTCTCTAAGAATGACACATGGATGAAAATATTACCCCCTACACATCTTGCACCTCACCCTCCATCCCTCATTGTGTCTCTCTGTGTATCCCTCTGTCTTTGTAGCCCCCCCCCCCCCCCCCACACACACACACACACACACACAAACAGCCTCAGAGGACCATTACATGTCTAATACTGTCTGCACACAGGCACACAAAAGCTGGCTCTAGTCCTGGGCCTGTGGCAGGCATTAAAGGCAAACTGGCCACTGACACTTTCATCCATCCGTCCATCCGTTTGTCCACCAAGGCTTCAAACACAACCTTCTCTCCATTGGCACAGCCCCCAGCAGCACCTGATATGTGAAGCACACTACAAAGTGTAAATGACTGTGGACCGGCTCAGCGGTGACTTGAATTGGCTGTTGATGACTCCTAAAGAGATATATTTCCATTTCAAAAGCGGGGCTGTTAGTGCTACTTGTTATTTACGGTCATTTAAACAGAGTCTGTGGGTGCTCTAACTCAGTGTTCTTTATAAGAAATCTTACTAAACAGAATTCTGAAAGAGCTCTAATTAAGATTAGTGCTTCACAAATGCTGTTGAAAAAGAGTCGAATGTCCTCAATGAAATAAAATTAGTTCCTGTTGCAAGTGAGCCCAAATTAGCATTTCCTGTATAAAAGAGATGTGGTGACCAAGCTCGTATGAAGAACACTTTAACGTAAGATTTGCATTTTTTGCTCTGTGAGCCGAGCTGTGAGAAAATGACTCCATTTAGGCAAATCTTAAGCTTGAGTCGAATCCTAAAGCTTTGAATTGCCCTTAATGGTGTGTTTCATCTCTACTTTTCAGCTGTGGTTCTTAGAAACTTCTCTCGTGAAACAATAGCTGCAAATAAAGGGCAAAGGAAGTGCTGCACTTCTGTACAGAAATACATGTTTACATCATCAATACAGTTCTTCTTTGGTCATAAACACACATCTAAACACAACACAAGTAAAATACAGACTGAGTAAATGATGAAGCTGCTCGGCATCTCTGCTCGTTCATTTTGTCTGTATATAAACTGTTTCTATAAAAAAAATAAAAAGCTCACACAGGTGCAGGATCACCCACACATTCATGTAAGCGAGCCAACACACATACGCACACTGACACACATACACACTGACTTACCAGCCTTTTTCCTGTGGCTTCTGCTTCCTGCATTTGTAGAGCGCATACCAGACGTTTGTCTGCCGCTGCAAAGAGACATGAGTGAAATTACATTAAAAGTCTCATTTCATATCGATCCATCTGCACAAATAGCCACCTGAACAAGCAGAACAAGATTATTTAATGTTATTTATTTTCCTTTCTTATTTCCCCTGGGTTTCGGGTCACGCAGTGGAGAGGTGAGAAGGAGAACAGACAGCACTTTGTGAGTACGTGGTGTGTGCTGGTGCTTGCTGAGCTCCCGAGCAAAAGAAACAGTCGGTGAGGGGACAGTATCGCGCTTTTTTTTTCTTTTTTCTTTGGCCTGCATGATGATTGCGGGAACAGACGCACCGAGTAACACAGCGAGTACAAGCTCAGGTAGTACACCAGAATCTTAAGCTAATGTGTTTCTTGTAAATGAAATTATTTTGTTTTCATTTTGAAAGCAGAACTATGACAGGAAATTCACTGCTAGAGACTTTGTGACCCACGTTGACCTGTTGACTTTGTCTTTTTCTCGTGATGGAAATTCCTCTTTGTGTTCATTTCTGTAGAGGTGGATTGGAGCAGCTATTAAAAGAAGTGCCAAAACATTTGGCTTTGTTACTGAATGAAATGATGTCATTTGATTTGACATCATCTCCTGTGACTAACAGAATGTAATTGCCTTAGCTCCTGTGAATCATTACCAGATGTGTGCATCTGTGTGAAAGCTTATTCACCACTGCACGTATGAATTGTTGTGGAAATTGCGTACACCACTGTACACTGTATGTTACTGCTAAATGGCCATCCACTGTATGTCTGCAGACTTTTGCATTGGTTGTTTTTTTATGCATAAATCTCTGTGTGGGCTGGTTTCTTCTTATCTGTGTACACACGTGTGCAAAAATCAGTATGACCTGCGCTCCTATAATGTTCTACACATGTAGATCCCCTGAGCTTTTAAATATGCTGCCCCTTTTTCCTGGAATACTGTACACTGTACTGTGATTACTAAGGAGGAGTTAATAGTACTTTTGGTTGGTGTGATTGCTCTCAATTTTTTTTCTGAAATCATTTTAGAAAATTGCAGGCCAGCCTGTTTGTACATCTTAATATGTGTGACAATTGTATTTGTCTTTTTGTATTCTTTGTGTTTATTATTGTAACAGTGTTTATGCTGCCATCTTTGTTGGGTCGCTCTTAGAAAAAGATCATAATTTCAAATAGACTTCACCTAGTTAAAGTGACATTTACCTATCTGGAAATTTTACGCTTTACTTAAATGCTATTAATAAGCTGATGGCACACTAAAATGTAAGTGAATTCCACCAGAGATAAAAACTCATAATTATGCCATTCTCATATGGCTCTAAGAAAACACCGAGCAGTCAATCAATGATTGGCCGAGCGTCCTGTCTGTCTTCCCCACGTGGAGGCCTCCGACTGACGTAACCGCTAGCGTAACAACACCTCCAGCCGCTCCAACAGGGACACTACTATCTAACATTAGCACTGTAACCTTATTCTAAAACTCATCAGTCATCACTGACTCCGGTTGAGTTTTAAAACTCCGGGGTTGCGTTTGACTGTCTTGGTTGTAACGTTACACTCGCTCTCCTCTTCCGTGTATCTAATGTTACCTTGCCAACGCTTACGTCTATCATAGGACGTAATGGAGGAGGGGGGAGTAGGCCTTTGGAGGGAGGTGGAGTTGCAGGAGGAGGAGGAGGAGGAGGATGGGACTTTGGAG